ACTTCCGAGCCCCCCGAACAACCTTAACCTAAACCCTAAACAACCAATCCCAAACCAACAGCAGCCCTAAGTTCCCTAATCATCAGTCATAGGCGGCCAAAACGGGTTCTAGCCTCTGGGTGTTTACCAAGGATTTAGGGTTCCCATAATCGGGTTCATACTAAGGAACCCCTAGCCCAAGAATCTTAACCCCCCCTTTTGGCCTCCCATCAATCAGGTTCACTGCCATCCAGAGCAGCGGCCCTTGGAGCAGGTGCTGAAGGCCCGGCAAGTTCGACCCTAATGTAGGGGCCTTAATAATTAGAATAGGGTTCCTTTAAAGGGGTCTGTACGGGTTACTATAAGGGACCTAGAAGGGTATTATCATGTAGGGGCCTAAGTAATTAGAATAGGGTTTTGGGGCATATTATGCAGTAGTCACAATAAGGAACCCACAAAATAGTCTCGGTAATTATTTAGGCCCCTGTGTTAATCAACGACCCTCATCGTGGGAATGACCAAACCCTAAACTCTAGAAGGTACTTGGAGCTTAATGGTGTGGAGTTATAGTTATAAGTCCCCTACTATAGGCCATAACTACAGTTTTCCTTCTTGTAGCCCTACTGATCCAAGTAGGGCTGAAGTCTCATATTAAGGTTCCGACAGGTGCGGAGTTGGGGCTTTACGGGTTTAGGGTTCCTATGCCGGTTGTGCGTCTTTGGGTTTAGTGTTTAGGATTTTGCAGCTTATAAGGGTTCTGTCTGTGTCTATAGGATTGAACGGTTTAGGGTTCCAGGATTCATGCTTTGGGGTTGAGGGTTTAAACAGATCAGGATTTAGGTTACAGGGCTTGGTTTGGGGTGACAGTTTAGACCGTTGCCTTCTACATACCCTAGAGCTCCCCGAGAGTCCCTGGAGGGCTTGTGTAGGACTGTTGAACCCTCAAAGCGTTTCCTCGTCTCTTCATAAGAAAGGTTGCATGTAACCCTTTGTGAGTTTTTGGGGTCTTAAGCAAGCCTGCCGCAACACACCTTCCAATCACAAGAGCAAGGTCCCAACCTCTGAACCAACAAAGCTTCACTTCGCATAAATGGTTGTGAGGGTTATAGAAACCCACACCCTAAACCCCAACAGCCTAAACCCCAAACCCTAGATTTAAGTGGTAGGATCCTTCCAGGTAAGAGAGTGAGAGAGGGCCCCGTACCTTTAAGAACGCATCGGATCCCCAATCGGGGGGCTTGGGCCTGAACACGAAGGCCAGAAGGCCATAATGTATTTGGGAGTTTCCGAAAATTAGGGGTACCTTATTTTGGGCCCTATTGTCGGAAAATCCCATTTAGGGTTTTGGGCTACAGGGCTAAAGGGTTTTGGGCTAAGGGTGTATGGGCCGGGAGAACTACCAGTCTGATTTCTTTAGGGCTCCCTAGACAATCGCACTAGAGTGCACCCGAAACCCAATTTTCGTCATTCGGGCCCTCGTGTTGAGGTTTTCAAGGGCGTTAAAATAGCACCGGCCTAGATAGTTGGTAGCCATACTATGTTGGAGGTTCCCTATGATGATTGTAGTATAACAGGCCCCCAAAACCCGATTCTAATCATTAAGGCTTGTACAGTAGCCAAACCACAGGAGCCGAACGAGCAGCAGAAAGCAGAGCCTGTTCGGAAGAAGGACACCTGGCTTTCAGAAAGGTTTCATAAGACTCCTCAAGCGTCTAGTTTTCATGGGGTTGAGGCACGAACTAGCCCTAAACCATAACCATGCAACGCTAAAGCCCGAATTGTAGGGTTTACAGGGTGCAGGATATATGCGTCGAGGGAAATCTTGGTCTAGGCCCTCTAGGCTCAGGCTTGACGCGTAGGCTTGACGATGCTGAAAGATGAGGCCCTAAACCCTAAACCCTAAACCCTAAACCCTAAACCCTAAACCCTAAACTCTAAATGGGTGTAGGGTGAGGGAGTTGTGGGCCCAGGGTGCCGGGAGGCAGGCTTTCGGGCTTTCTGGGCTCAGGGTGTAGGGTTCGCGTGTTTCTGTGTCTGTGTTTAGATGCCTTTTAAACCCGGAAAGTTCCCGAACCCCAGAGCCTAAACGACCATGATCTGCTTGTGTGAACCCGAATACGGAATTGGAAGGGGCCCCACACAGAAATCTAGGTTGTGGTAGCTCAACGTAAACTTAAACCCTAAACCCCAAGACGAATCAGCACAGGAACATAAACTACCCCGACACGCGAAGCCGGAACGAACCGCGAGAAAAGAACTAAAACTTGTTTGTAGTCTTCGAGGCAAAAATATGTATGTATACAGATAGACAGATAGATAGGCAGCTAGCTAGGTAGATATGTAGATCGATAGATGGATGGACGGACCCCTGTTCATAAATTGTAAACACCCTGCTTTTGGCAAGGCATGGTAGCTTAATGTGGAATCCGAGGTATTATCCTAGCAGGCATCTTGTAGCCGGACACGCACCGCCTGTGCAAAGCCACTAGCCCCTTAAACCCTAAACCCTAAACCTTAAACCCTCAAACCCTAGATCCCAAACCTCAAACCCTCAAACCCTCAAACCCTAAAACCCTAAACCCTAAACCTTAAACCCTCAAACCCTAAACCCTTGACCTTAAACCCTAAACCCCAAGCTCTAGCATGTGGAAGCCCTCCTGTAAACCTGAAAGACCCTCCGCCAAACCACCCAAGGATTCCGCCGTCCCTCATCCGAAAGTCCTAACTCAACAAACCTGTTTGGGTTATATACCCTAAACCCTACAACCCTCCACCCGATACCAAAAAACCCTAAACCCTAAAGGTTACAAACCTATATATATATATATATATATATGTGTGTATATATATATATATTCACAGATATATATATATATATATATATGCTTACTCGGGTTTCTTTATCTAAGGCAAGGGTTTTCCAGGGGACAGGCATATAGCAAGCTCTGAAGCTCTAAACCTGACGCGTTGAACTTTGATAAACCCTGACCTCGTCATAAGCCCTACTTGGAGCTTCATGGGTAGTTCTATGTGGGGTTATAAGTCCCCCCTATATGGGTTTTTACTATAGTTACCTTGCTTATAACCCTACTTATAACTACCCATGAACCTCCAAGTAAACTCCAAGACCCACAAGTACCGTAATTATGTAACTCATTTTAGGGCTTATTAACCCGCGTATAACTACCCATGAACCTCCAAGAGACCTCGTCATAAACCGGGCTTAGGGTTTAGGGTCCCCCAAATCCTTGAACCCTGAAACCCCTAAACCCTAAACCCCTAAATGTGGAGTCCAAGCCTTCGACCCAGAAGCCCCAAACCGGCCACCCCGAACATGTAATGTAGGGAACTGAAGAATTAAAATCGGGTTTGGGGCTATATTATACTTTAGTTATATAGTAGGGAGCCACCTATTCTGATTATTAAGGCCCCTGCATTATGCTTCTACTATTCTTCCTTGGGGTTCCTTCTTTGACCATACTACCCACTCACTAATTTTATTCCTTAGGGTTCCTTGTTTTATTTGCCTACATTACGCCCTTCTCCGTGCACTAGGAGCCCTTAAAACGGCCTTATAGAACCCTCAAACCCTATAGACCCCTTTATACGAAACCCTTGAAGGAACCTTATAAACTCATAGGGATCCTTAGGGGTGTAGGGGGGAGGGGTGTAGGGGACTATATTTCCTTAAATCGGCCTTATTAGTCCTTATTATGGGCCTTAAGGCCCCCAACCCCCCCTCCCCCTACACCCCTAAGGATCCCTATGATAAACCCCACTGATAACCACTGTAGGGGCCTAAATGATTACCAATACTGTTTTTGTGGGTTACTTTTTACGATTACAGTATAATATACCTCAAAACCCTATTCTAATTATTTGGGCCCCAGTGTAGTGTGGCGGTTCTGACTGCAAGGGCCGTGCTTTCTTTTCTCAGTGAAAGACTGAGCAGGAGTCGCAAGCTTTTGACGCTTGTCGGTCAGTATCCAGAAGTGGTGCTGCGCTACGTTGTGTTCGTCTCACATGAACACGAATGCGGTGTGATGATGATGATTTGGGCCCCAACATGATAGTACCCTTATGGATCCCTTATAGTAACCCTTATAGACCCCTTTAAAGGAACCCTTTTCTATTCATTAAGGCCCCTATATGACCCACAAATCTCCAAGCAGGCGACCCCGCTCCCCACCAATGCGCGTGGCAAGGCCAGGACATAAGCTCAAGCATTTTATGTAGGGATCCCTACCTTATTGGGCTTCGATATTAAGGGAGTCTATATGGTTTTGGAACCGGAGTTGCCGATTCAGGGTTGAGGGTTTAGGGTGTTTAGGTATTTAGGGTTTGGAACTCAGGGGTTCTGGTTTACTGCTTCAATAGGGCTACATAGGGTTCTAACAGGTTTCTATGTGGGGTTCGTCAGGGCTATTGAGGTTTAGGGTCCCGCGGTGGGGTTGAGTTTTTCGGTGTTCCGGGTTCGGGGGGTGGCGTCCGCGACAGAATCTCCCAGTTCACGACTCTGCATGGAATGGTTCAGGGTTTAGTGTTTAAGGTTGAGGGTTTAGGGTTTTAGGCCTCGGTTGAGCGACGGGATCAAAGGAGACGACCGCCGCAGCGGAGGCGGACTCGGCATGTGAGATCGTGCAAATGGGAGTTTCCGAAGAATTAGGGGTACCTTATTTGGGGGTCCTTAGAATAAGGCTCCTACTATTTAGGGTACTATATTTGGATCCACTATTTTCGGAAATCCCCATATTGGCACGATGAAAAATGTCCATGTACGTAGTTCTGCAGCAGGCAGGGATGGAACAGCAGGCTGCGCAAACCCTTAAACCCCTAAACCAGCCTGTCCAAGGCAGGGTCGTGGCAGCAGGAGAAAGGCCCACTGCATTCAAAAAAAACCATAGCGGTGCTTGTTTTGTGTTAACAAGAGAACAGCACTGTGACTTGCATCTAATCTTCGAAGGAGCTTCAAGACTGAGGAGGGATAATGTAGGAATCTGATTAAGAAACCCTGGCCTTATAACGCCAAAATAGTAAGATTCATATTAAAAAGGAACCCCAATAAAGGCCCAAGGTTTCTTAATCAGGTTCCTACACTAACATTACTGCATCGTCAGTCTGAACACATGAAAGTACATCGGGGGTAATGTTTCGTCGGCCCAGGCTTGAGGTTGGGAGTAAGGTCTAGGAGGCTTCACGGCGCAGGCCCTAAGCCCCTGAACCCTAGAACTCTCAACCTCACTAAACCCTTAAACCCAAGTCTAAAGAAGCCGCTGGCTCCGCGAGTCTTGCCCTAAACCCTAAACCCTAAACCCTAAACCCTAGGTGGAGTGGTATGCTTTGGATGCTGCGGACTCTGAGCAGGAGGACGGGGTTCTCGAGCTCAGGTCCGCCGAGGCTTTGTGTGGAAGCCCCAAATGCAAAGCGGGGCCAACGACTCCCAAACTCTTTTCTTAAGCAGCATACCCTAAACCATTTTAAAGGCACCCTTATCATTTAGGGTTCAGGGTTTGGAGGCTTTGGGTGAAGTTACATTGCTGGAAAACGGGGAGTTTAGGAGTTGTTGGGGCAGCTTCTTGGAGGCGGTTGCTAGGCCCTCCAATATCCTTCAATTAAGGAAGGAAGACACCTTAACTCATTTAGGGGATCCTGTCATACTTTAAGGTATATTCCTTAATTAAGGGATTTAGGAAGGTGTGGGTTATGCACCAGAACTCCGAAGCATCTTTCTTCAGTAGGCCGGTTTGAGGTTTCCTTTGTATAGTTGGGTTGCATTTTGCATTCTTATTATGGGTACTTAAACCTAGTAAGGAATTGAAACTAAGATTTTGAATACTATCCCAACCATGCTGGTGTCATAATACAAGGTTGTACACACACATATCCTGAATCCACGGCTGCTGCCCTAAGCTGTTGCGTGGACACGAGGAGCCGGCCAGAAAGATACGAAAGATTCAGTTCAATACAAGACGGATTACCAAAGGCATGTCCGAGAAGGAGAAGCAGGCTATCATTCAGGAATGGAGACTGAATAAGATCAAGTCCAGCAAGGCGTGGCATGACAAGTTTGCTTCGAAAAGGGCACCTGGCCTGCACGGATCAAAGAATTGCAACATTGATAGACATGTGGATGAACATGTTTTTTTTTCACGCTCGAGGTGCACGGAAACGTCAAGCACTCCGATCCTGGCAGAACCCAGAGAGCCCAATACCCCTTAATTAAGGAATATACGTTAAATCATAATATGAAGCCCTATACAGTTTAAGCCATATTCCTTAATTAAGGGGTATTGGGCTTTCTGGGAACCTAGACCCAGAGCCGAAAATTTAGTCCCAAAAGCCGGAGGGACTCAAGGTTACTGTGTGACGAGACACTGGGGATTTTGGAGTGTTGGGGGTGCTGCTTAACCCTAAACCCTAAACCCAAACCCTAAACCCTAAACCCCTAAACCGTCAAACTCAAACCCTAAACCCTAAACCGTAAACCCTGAACCTAAGCCCAAAGCCCTGTTGATGCTTTCTCGGACCGTTATCACCCTCCCAGACCTCCGGGAAGATCTAGAAAGTAGATCCCCTAATCGGGGCCCTATACTACTAAGGGTACTTTATAGGAACTCCCATTAAGGGATCTACTTTCTCCCGGGGGTCTGGGCTAGGACGAGCCTCTCAGGATGCTCTAGAGTTACTTGGAGGTTCATCGGTAGTCAGTTATAATAAGTAGGGTCCATGCGTAGGATTTCTATGTATGTATGTATGTATGTATGTATGTATATATATATATATACATATCTATCTGTATATATATATATCTATGGATATATACATATCATAGACAGATAGGTAGATAGATAATGTTGGATCCGGATTAACAACCCCCCCCCCCGCCCCCCCCCCGCTGTCAAGGTTAGCCCGCTTGAACTTGTTCATGGGTTCAAGTTTTTCCCGGCCCCCCCCCGATTATGTGGGGATGGGGTTAAATATTAAGTATAGTAGTAAGTAGATAGAGAGTACTTAGTAAAGTATTGCAGTCGTACAATAGGAGTACAGTAATATAGTAGTAGTACAGTAGTATAGTAGTAGTACAGTAGTACAGTAGTATTACAGTAGTATAGTAGTAGTGCAGTAGTACAGTAGTACAGTAGTACAGTAGTTCTCTTTACGGTTTAGGGTTCAGGGTTTGGGGTTTAGGGTTAAGTCATAAGCCTCTAAATCCCCTAAATCCTTACTTCGGGGATTTTCGGGGATGGCCCCGTCTAATCGGGGGGGGTTTAGGCGAGCTCCGGTACTATAGGGGTGGGGTCTAATGGACTTCTTCATTAAGCCCATGACATGCCCGGGACGGCCCGTCTAATCTGGGGGGGTCTCTTAATCCGGAAACGACATTAGACCGATAGAGTTATAACCCTCATCATATTACTGCCCACGGATCTCCAAGTAGACCCCAACAACTCCCGAAACCCTAAACCCCATAAGCCCGAACATAAAACCCGAAACCTTTCGACCCTGAACCCCAAACCCAAACCCCAAACCCTAAACTGAACGCGAAGCCCTACGACCCTAAACCCCAAACCCAAACCCCAAACCCTAAACCGAACCCGAAGCCCAACGACCCTAAACCCCAAACACAAACCCCAAACCCTAAAGTAAACACGAAGCCCTACGACCCTAAACCCCAAACCCAAACCCCAAACCCTAAAGTAAACACGAAGCCCTACCTCAACCGATAAACCTCGAGGATCCTCAACCCTAAACCCTCAACCCTAAACTGAACCCTAAACGCTAAACCCTGAATCCGAAGCATCAACCCTGAACCCTCGACCAAAAACTCAAAAAACCTGAACCCTCAACCCTCAACCCTCAACCCTAAACTAAAACCCAAAGCCTACGACCCTAAACCGTAAACCCTAAACCCTGAACCTTAAACCCTAAACCCCAAACACAAACCCCAAACCCTAAACCCTCAACCCTAAACCCTCAACCCCAAACCCGAAGCCCTAAACGATAAGATTTCGAGGATCCCTTTCCGACGCTCGTGCCGGAGCCTCGGCAGTCGGAGCCCGAAGAGGCTGCGGCGACGCAGGCCGGAGCCGATCTTGCTGGGCTTTATAAGGTTTGTGGGGTTTAGGGTTTTAGGGTTCCCTAAACCCTAAACCCTAAACCCTAAACCCTAAACCCCGAAAAGGGACCCTAATTTGGTTTAGGGTTGAGGAGGTTGAGGGCTTAAGGGTTCTAGGGTTGAGGAGTTAGGTTGAGGGGGTTGTTTAGGGGGGTTTTCAGTATTTAGGGAGCCTGGGCTAACTCCAAAACAGAAACGGATCAGGGAGAAGTTCGCAACTTGCGTCGTACTTTTTTTTAAAGGGTTCAGGGTTTGGGGTGTAGGGTTGTGCTAAGATTAAAGGTGTGTTTGATCTGCTTATTCCCTTACAATAGAATCCTTATGTGTTCTTGACTCTTCATATCAAGTTAGTATCTGTTGTTTTTGTTGTGCTCGTGATTTTGTGGTTTGAAAGTTTGGTCGGGGTGATTGTGAAGATCTTTGGTGCTTCTTGGGGTTTGACCGGGTCCTTCTTTAAAGCCAGGGCTTGCTAGAGGGTTTGTATTGTAGGGTTGTTCTTTTTGAAACGCGTCCCCGAGATTCTTCTGCATGAGGGTTGCTTTACCTGAGGTTTAAGGACGGTTAGCATGGGTGAATGCGACTCTTGTTTCAGTTGATAGAGGCTTTATCGGACTGAGGCTTGCATACCCCAAAGCCCAAAACCCTAAACCCCTAAACCCAAAGCCTAAACCCTTAAACTTCTCAACCCTAAACCCCTAAACCCTAAACCCCAAGCCCTAAATCCTAAACCCTAAACCCTCAGGTTTAAACGCTAAGCCCTAAACCCTAAAACATAAACCGTGGCATTTTCCGCTTGGGGTTTCGCGGGCAACTGGCTGGTTGCCAGCCGAATGAGCACCGAAGCCTTAAAAGTCCTTTGAAGTTCCCAGAGAGCCCAATACCCCTTGATTAAGGAATATGGCTTCAATCACATAGGGCTTCATATTATGATTTGGGCTATATTCCTTTTTTTAAGGGGTATTGGGCTCTCTGGCTGGGTTGCGGCTCAGATAATGCGGGCACTAGACAGATTCTATCAGGGCCGTACAGGGTTAGATATGGCTTTATAGTGTTGTAGCGGGTTTTATAGACCAGGCTTGGGGCGAATTCCCCCCCGCGGAAGCTAAACCCTTAGAGCCAAAGCCACTGCCCTGGACCCCTAAACTGAACGACAATGTCCATGCTACGAGTGCAGCGCGTGGCACCCGAAGTAGTTCGAAGTTTCCGGATGCCCTCTTCTCTTGTGTGGCAAGGTCGTGTACGAGTCGTCTGCCGGCATGAGAAGTGTCCAGACGGTTCTTGCCATCCGCACCCTAAACCCTAAACCCTAAACCCTAAACTCAAGGCCACCTTCGATGGTGGGCGGCGCTTAAGCCCCTCGACATCGATGGCGCAGGTCGATCCAAGACGCTCGCCCACCGTCCCACAGCCCAGCGGTACTGTCGCACCCACGTTAGGCCCGGTACCGGGACACGTTCTCCGCGGGACCAGTACTGGTCCCTATTGAAGTCATTTCCCTGGACCTGCTGCTTGAGATGCTGGAGGGGCACTGCGCACCCCCCAAAAGGGGACCCCCCCCCCTGAGATGTAACCTGGACGTGTATCCCCTCGCTAGGCGTACAGGAACACAGGCACTCAGGTGTCTCTTTTGCTACAGGCGCACAGCTGTAGTCCACTGCACTAGAACCTTGAGCAACAGGCATGGATACATGCAAGTGATACGTGAAACAGACAGGCACCTGGATGTGTAACATTCAGTGTTTCAACCAGGCACAAATTTAAAACACGTAGAGCTGCATGGCCGTGGAGTCGGCAATCTACAAGCCTGTTATTGCTCTTGGTCGAATTAGCGGAGTATTGAGCTACATCTGCGACTTGAAGAGAATCTATACATCTCTCACCTGAAGACAGCTTCAATGAAAAGAGCAGAACACGCACGAAAACGCAAACGGATCTTCAACTGAAAACTTTTGCTTGAAAGTTGCCCACTTGTGTTTCAGTTCCCTCTCCAGGCGGAAAGCATACTGTAACATAAAGGTGTAAAGCTTAGCTTTACTTGATGCCAGCATGACATCTTGCGGCAAGGCAAATATATAAGGGCATTAGAAGTATCTTATCCTGAGATAAGTATCTTCCTTTGAGAAAGAGTTCTTTAGGAAGTACCTTTTCCTGAGAAAAGCATCTCCCTATGAAATGGCGAATGCTCAAAGTGGATACCTTCTTATGAAAGAAGCATTCCGTGAAACACACAGCCAGTTCAGTCGACGAACTCTAGGTCTGCATCCCAGGTTCTATCACGCCAATGATCCTCACCATGCCAACGGTAGATGTCGACAGTGTGAATCGGCATCACCGGCTGATGACGAACAGGGTCGTAACCGCGGGGATCAGCAGGGGATCTAGGTAGCGATATCTGTGGATCTGGAGCAACGTCTCCAACTTGTTCCAAAGGAACTTCTTCAGAACCATTGTCCATATCCACGTCCGAAGAATCGGAACCTAGTCAGTTCTTCCCCTTGTTCTTGCCCTTGGACTTGTCCTTGGATTTGCCTTTGGACTTGCCCTTGTCGGCGTCCTTCCCTTTTCCTTTGGAGGACTTGCCTCCTTTGCCGCCTTCTTTGCCACCAGGAGGTTGTGCGGGTTCTGGAGGACGTTGAGAACCAGAAGCTTTAGCACCAGAAGCTGCCTCTTCCTGAGAAGAGCTTGCTCCCTGTGGTGCGGCTGCAGGACCAGTAGAACCAGAACCACGCGCCTTGTTCAGCTTCTGTCTCTCTTTCCTTCTGTCCGCGGCTTCCTTCATGGTGTCGGGATTGCGGTTGAGCGCTCTCATCCTGCCTCCAGAGTACTGGTTCGCGTGAACCTCGATGAGGAGCGGAGTGTGAGCGTCATAGTCCCGATCGTTGAGAAGGTACGCGGCGCTGGTGGAGTTTAACAGCCACTCAGAGACATGGATGTCGAACTCAGTCTTTGAAGACGGAAACTCCGCCCATTGATCGTCCGACATGCTGTGTCCCCATTCCATGACTGTAGCCATAACAGGATCCAAACCAGGAAAAGTATTCCAGTCTGGTTGCTTAGCTTCCTTGTATGGCATTCCCAGCGTGTCCTCATACTGCTTCAGAAGCCACATGGCGTTTGCTGACACATGTCTCGCACGAGGCGAACAGAGGTGTGGGCACTTTGGGCTTTCTGACCATGCCTCCAAGAAGTAGTCGAGAAGGCTTTGGTACATCCCGCCACGAATATCCATCGACTCCTGCTTTCTGCCGGTGGCCCGGTAGAGGGCCATGTTGGCGTCGCCACCGATGAGGTCGACTTGGTAGTGCAGGCAGTCGATGAACATGTTGCCCAACACTTCATGAGCCAACGCCACCTTGTCTGCCGCCGCGTCGTTGTGGAGGTGGAAGACACAAACTCTCAGCCGGTCGGATCCAGCTCGCTCCAAGACCTTGGTCAGTGACTCATCTGGAACATCACCACGACTGCCCTGGAGACCGGTCGGTAACGTCATGCCATACACGATTTCCGCGACCATATAGGTTATTGGAAGGGACTCGTGGGCATATCCACTGAGAGTGGAGCCGGCAAGACGGGTGATCGAAGATCCGACACCATTTGTACGACTTCCCACCATCAGGTCCTTGGACTCGTTACGAAGGAATTGCCAACCGCGTGACTTGAGGAAGGCCTCTTCGGAGTCATCGATCTGAGCCGCTTCGCAGAGCATGAACAAATGCGTCTTCGACTGTGCAATCGATTTTATCAAGGCTCCTTTAGATGGTGTAGCATCGTCCCAGTCAATGTGATCAGCAACGGAGCGAGGAGCGGTACGCTTTCTTCCCCTGCTCATGTTGCCGAGATTGAGGATGAGCGCGGCATACTTGGTCTTGCTGGTGAAGATAGGGACATTGGAGTCCTCTGCCAGACCAAAACGATGAATATAAGGATTCGGCGTCTTCTCAAGAGAGAGGTCCCCGATCTCCTCTTCATCGACTCCGGCGCTCAAGAAGTAGTGAATCATAGCATTCAAAAGTTCTTCTCGAGTTGCCGGATTGCCGCTTGCATCCAGGGACTTCAGCTTATCAAGAAGTGCTTCCATGACTTCCAGTGCTGATTCTCGGATGTCAGAGGCCTTGCCCATGAGCTTGTCGTCCAAGGTGCTACGAACGTCCCCAGAACGAAAAGCAACGTTCTTCTTGTCGGGACGACGCTCATAGATGGGATCCATCTTGTTGAGTTGGTCGAATAGATCCACCATAGAGAGAGAGTATTTCTGTCCCTTGTGGTTTGGAACATTTACCCTCCAACTCATATGCTGCACCTTGTAGGCGAGAACGGGCTCGTAATCAGGATCACGAAGTCCTGTATGATACAAGCCTGAATAGCCATATCCATGCAGCTGCTTGCAGAGCATCCGCATAGGGCTTTGTCGTTCGATTTCGGTGAGCTGCGTAAGGAAATGTTTGAACTCTTCGAGATCGACGAGCTCGATCTTTTCCTTTGCTTTGCCCATCTTGTCGAACGCGTTCTCATTCTGGTCCTCTGCATCCTTCGCGGCCTGGTAGTACTCAGGATCCGGAACAGTCTTGCATTTCCCCCAGATGCCTTGATCGTGAAGTTCACTTTCATCATCCTTCTCGGGAGAAATGTCTGGCATGGATTCCTCACCCTGTGGTGAGCCTTCCTCAGCCATTTCGACGTTCTCGGACTTACCTCCTTCCTGACCCATGTGCGCATCAGGTTCGACCTTCACCTCGGATGCCTCTCCCTGTGGAGAGCTTTCCGTGGCTTCGGTCTTCTGTTGTGGAACATCCACCCAGATGCCTCCCCATGTGGAGAGCTTTCCGGAGCGTCCGTCTCCATTGGCTCGACAGTAACCCCAGATGCCTCTCCCTGTGGAGAGCTTTCTGGAGCTTCAGTCTCCATTGGCACATCGGTCGGCTCGGTCTTAACCGGATCAACCTTCTTGCCCTGTGGCAAGTCCG